AGACTCCCCGCCGAGCAGGGAGCCGTTGCGGGACTCGATCCAGGGACTCCAGGATCATGACCTGAGCCGAAGGCAGTCGCTTAACCAACTGAGCCACCCAGGCGCCCTCCCCTGCTTTGCTTTTTGAATACACTCTCCTGTATTTATCTGCCTGGCTCCCCTCCCTCCTAGACTGTGAGCTCCCTGAGGTCAAGGTCCCCCCACTCCAGCCACCTTTTTATCTTGGGCACCTGGCATGGTTCCAGCACATGGGGGGATCCACTGAGGTGGGCCTTTCGGAGGGAACTCTGACCCACAGAACGGCGAAGGGTCAAGCACGTGCTGCTAATGTGCTTCTAGCCCTGTTTCGAGTTCATGATTCTGACGCATCTGTCAAAGTCAACGTCTGTCCACATTCCTGATATTACCAGCTTATCTTATGGCTGGTCTGCAGTTTCCCTCTTGTTCCAGTACTACTCAGTCAGGTTTGTTAGGATTCTCTCCGGTCATTCATTCATTTATTCAGCTTCCCCCACCCCCACACCAGCCATTCCTCCAGGCCCTGGGTGTGCAGAGTGGGCCCTGCCCTCATGGAATTTACATTCTAATGGAGAGACCGAGACAAGAAGCCAGTAAATCAATCAATAAGATGCTGTAGAGGAAGGACCGTGGGGAGACATGGACTCCACCTCTTGGTGGGGTGTGGAGAGGTCACAATGCAAAGAGCGTGTGGGAGGCTGACTGGATTGCAGCCATCTTTGGGAAATAGGATCCTGCACATTGGTTTTTGTTTTTCTAGTTTCCTGGTTCTGAAAAATGTCCTTAGGAAAAGCCCCGAGTACATAACGTTTTCCATCATTGTTGGTGAGGTCAGATTACTGTTCATGGTTTTTCAAACTAGTCAAGAGACAATGGTACTTTGAGCTCAAGCTGGCTGTGGAGACGTGTCCCAGGCCGCAGGGAGTGCCCTGGGCTGGGATATGGTGGACCTGGGACCGCCCAGCTGTTGCTGCGAGGGCAGCGCCGAGTCAGCAGGAGGCTCAGGGCTGCCCTCAGCAAGGGCCCGGGGCTGCTGAGACTCATGTCTTCCACGTCTTGCAGTTCTGAGGCCTCTGGTTTAAGTCTCTTCATCTGGCTCGGCTCTGGGCAGCTCAGCACCCCGACGGCTGCCTGCTGGAGCCGGTCAAGGTGCCATCACCCCTGGGCCCTCACACTTCAAGGTGGCCAGAGCTTGAAGACAAGAGAATGAAGGACCAGGTTCCCAAAGCTCCAGCAGATGTCTCAAAACCACTGGTTGCTCGATTCCTCCAGAAAACACCTGCGGCGCTAGAGAAGGCAGAAACGGGTCCCCTTGGGCCAGGGGCTGTCACGCCCAGCCCTCCCATGAGAGTAGTGCACCTGTCCCCCTCTGCCCTCGCTGACACTCTGCCCTCCCTTGGCTTGACAGATGGAGACAAGCGTTGGTGGTGCCCCTCGCTGCAAGAGGTCATGGAAACATTTCACAGCCTGGGAGCCTGCAGCCCTGCTCTGGGCCCAGAGGGGCCCTGTCAGCCCAGTGAGAGGTGAGTCCTTCCTCTTCCTCATTGTCCTCCCTCATTCGTTCAACACTGTGGATCTCACCTCAAGCCCGTCAACTTGTATACATTTAGGTATGTGCAGGTTTTTCCATATCAGTTATACCTCCGTCAAAATATTTTAAAAAAGACAAAATATTACCTGAAAAAGAGAGATGTATTCTTCTCAACGTATATTCATGCTAAGAAATATTAAAGTGTGGAGCACCTGGGTGGCTCGGTCGTTGAGCGTCTGCCTTCGGCTCAGGTCATGATCCCAGGGTCCTGGGATCGAGTCCCGTGTTGGGCTCCCTGCTCCGCAGGAGGCCTGCTTCTCCCTCTGCCTGCCACTCCCCCTGCTTGTGTTCCCTCTCTCGTGTCTCTCTCTGTCAAATAAATAAATAAAATCTTTAAAAAAAAAAAGAAGTATTAAAGTGTTTCCTATTTTAGGGGGAATGGAAGGGAAGAAAAAAATCAAGTATTTCCTATTCTGTAAAGGTAATACAACGTGACGGGCCATTTATTGTACAAAACTATCCATTATTGTTTGTGGTCCACATCCTCAGCTCCATAAGCATTTGTAAGTTAGAAAAAGGAAAGATTTTCTCTGATTATTATATGGAATTATGTGCATTTGGCAGGGGGGGATTTCCCAAACTCGGCCTCTAGCCCCCATGGGGAAGCAGTGTCTGAGGGATTCTAGAACAACCACACACAAGTACCCGTGGATTATGGGCATCACACCACGAAGGCAAATGTTCTGGTAAATGACCGTGCTCCCAGCTTCAGGGGGACGGAAGAACCAGGCACGGGTGAGTCTGGCTGCTTTGGCTGACATCTGTTCCTGCCCTTCGGTGACTCAGAGCCCTCACTGCTCCTCCTCTTCCAGGACATGTCCCAATCTCTCTGGTCTACCTCCAAGCCTCAATTTTGGCCCATTTCCTAATATCAGCTCATGGCCAGCAAGGCACAATTTTGCATGTAATTTTCACAGTGGCCAGTTTTGTTTTGTGGGTGTCCCCTTTGTGCACTGGGCTGGGTTGTGTGGGGGGTACTAATTTGCGTAGCCATTGTCCCTGCCCTCTAGGAACAGAGCCATACACTACATAAATGACTGTTGTTGGGTGGACAGTGATTAGGTCTGGGTTGTAAAAGTGTTACATATTATAAACTTGTTCTGCAAATTATATTACATTCAAACTCTTTCTTGACAATTCTTTGAGAAGATGTAACAGAGTGTTTAGAGCCCTGGACAGGCCGTTATGTGGGAGCCTGACTCCCCCCCCCCACCCCCCGCGTCGGTGACAATCTTTTGGCTCCAGGAGGTGCAGGGACCCTTTCCCTTGCTGTGGTAGGCAGGCGGGTGTTCCTACACAGGGAAGGCCAAAGCTTTCTTAAGAACCTGTTCCACGACTGTGTTTAGTAATTGTCTGCCAAACCAAACCAGACCAAACCACACTCACTCTGCTATAAATACCCTACGCATGTGCCAGCCTGCCTCGCTCCTGCCCCTCTCCCTTCCCGCGGAGCTCCACATCTGGTGTCGTAAGCCACTTGCCTCGTCCCCAACACAGAGCTTCAATCACACCACCTTCTAGAATGAGTTGGGGGAAGAATTACACTTAGAAAAACAAATGCGGGTGGGAGGGGGGGCTGGGGGGCCTATGGGGTCAGAGGAGCTATTTCTAGCTGTTCCGATGAGCACTGGGTGTCCACCTGGAAAGTGAGAGGTGCCACCGCAGGGAGAGGCGTATAACCACCTCATTTATTCCGTGCTCTGCAAAGCGCCACTTTTCTCCCCCGCCCTTCTCCCTTCCCCCAAGATTTGATGGCTTCCTGCTCCTTGTGCGTCAGGACAAATCCATCCTCTCTGGAGGCACGGGGGGGAGGGGGGCAGGTGGGCATTAGAACCATGGCTGCGTAAGTCTGCCACCTCGACTACTTGGGAGCACCAAGCCCAGCATGCAGACTTGCAGACTTCCAGCCTGACCGGGCAGGTCGTCCTGTGTAAGAGGAAGGCCAGTCCACGTGGTCGCAGAGTGTTGTCAGAGCTGCCACCAGACGTGCTGCTTGGACACCCTGCCTCTTCCCTTGGGCCTCGTGCTGCTGGCACCGTTTCCCCACGGAGGACTCAGACCTGGCCCAGAGGAGCTGGCCGATGGCTTCAGGGCTGATTTTCTTATTGTGGCCCTCTAAGGACAGGCTGGGGCCACCTGCCCAGCCACTTAGCCTGCAGAGGTTTTTCTGCCTGAACACAGCCTCTTTTTGGAAAAACAAACACAACCTGGAGACCCCTCCAGTGACCTCCCCAAGATGTGGGGTAGCAGAGATGTTTGGGTGGGTTACCTGGGTTGCTGGCTGGCTGCTGCAGTTGGGGAGGCTCTGGGAGTCATAGGGTTGGGAGAGAGCTCTTCTAGACTATTCAGGAAGCACTGTGAAGGTTCTGGCATCTCCTCCACTGGGGGTATGGCATCCTTCATAGACACATGGACCACAAGAGGAACATCGGGGCGGGCTGCCTTCTCCCCACTGTCTTCCTTGTCCTGTTCCTGACCTAGCTCAAGTTCATCCCATGCCAATTGGCTCCATGTCACCCACTGCTCTGTTGACTTCCAGGGATGTCTGATCTAGGGCTCCTCGACAGAACAGATGCTCTGGGGCTCCTCCAGGGCACCCACAGAGCCCTCATATTGGCCAAGGTTGGAAATGAGGGGTTGAGATGTCTCTGCACATGGCCCCACAACTGGACTATCTTTTTAGTGTCTATGAGAAAGACTGGTCTTTCTTTCACCGTTTTGTTTTTGTTTTTTTTTTTTTAAGATTTTATTTATTTATTCATGAGAGACAGAGAGAGAGAGAGAAGCAGAGGGAGAAACAGACTCCCAAGGAGCAGGGAGCCCGATGCGGGACTCGATCCCAGGACCCTGGGATCATGACCTGAGCCGAAGGCAGACGCTTAACCATCTGAGC